ATAATCTTATGGGACCACATTTGTATATTCAGTCCCTCATTGACCAAATTGTCATTATGTGGAACATGACTGTAAATATTTCATAAGTTTGCTGGAGAATTGAGTGGAACAATGAAACACAAAGTGTTCCAAAGTGCCTGGAACACCAAAAAAAGGTATAATGAAGGAATACAAGAAACGTTTCCCTGAGTGCATTGGAGACATACATCATTTAAAATGAAACATACAAAGCTGTCAAAGATGGGAAACTCCCCCAGAGCCACTCTGGGCAACCACGTCCAGGAAGCTAACTGACTTGAGGATGTTTAGACACTTCTGAGGTGGGGGTCATACCGCGTTAGGGGTCCTAAGCCCCTTGCCCATTTCCGTCATATAAAAAAGGGTTAGTTAGTAGTACAGGGAGACCATCAAACTGAGTTAGCTCGCACCTGGCCGCACTGGCAACCTCAGCTGGCCTGCACGTTAGGAGGGTCCCCCTGTTTCCAGCCGTACAGTGGCCTCTAGAAAACGTCCTCCAACAGGCCGCTCCTGCGCCACACAATGGGCGGGACCCCGCTATTACACAGGTCTCTCACCCACGCCATTTTCAGCGAATTTAGTAGAAACCAAATCGCCACCCATCTTCCTTCCACAGTCCCGCGAGCGGCTGTGTAAAGAGCCTTTACTCTGAAGCCAGGTCTTTTCGCCCAGCTGCAACGGGTTACGTGACACAGTCTCCTGAGCAACTGTCGGGCCTGGATGCTGCCCCGCCCCTGGCCGCACTGGGGGCCAATTCCTGCATTTCCTCCGTCAGGGGTTTAGCAGCGACGCCGGGTACCGCATCTGAGATGGGGACGCTCACCGGCTCCGCGCTGCTAACTTTGTGCAGATGGCCCACGGGTAATGCGGAGGCCGCGAGGTTGATTGACCCGGCCTTGGAAGTCGCCCGCATTTGGCTATCTAGCGACCAGCGTCTTAGCATGGTCACCTCTTATTCAAAACGTCAGCGAAAAAATAAAACATTCACACCCCGCAATACCCCAGCAACCCACGTTAGGACTGCATTTCGCGCCTTCGGATTTGTCTGCCGCAGCCGCTTTCGTATTAGCCACTGCAATGCCCCAGCTCTGCCAGGGCCGGCACCGTGCAGCGCCGGCGAAGAACTGCCCCTCTGACGCTGTGGCCCTCCCTCCCAGTGAGAGGCGCAAAGTCGGCTGGCCCTGATTTACATAGAAGCCACTCCAAAAGTGTTCAGAGCCAGAGGCCTGAGCTGCCTAGAAAACCTCTGCCACTGCTCAAACCTGGAATTTGTAAAGTGGAGACGCTTCCTTCTCCCAGATACCAAAGCAGTCAGACTTTCCAGGTGCAGCGCTGAGTTCCCCACTCCTGACTGCTCACGCCAACACTCCTCCCAAACCTCAAACATTAAGCCTGTAACTGGAAGACACCCTCCAGAGCAGTTGCTTGGACAACAACTTTACCACTTCTAATGGCATCTGGAACCCTTCATCAAAAACACCGATCTGCATTTAGATCCGACATTCACACGGTAGGTATTATTAACGACTCTTTCCTTGACGTGTTTGGGGGTCTCAAAAAAGGGCCTTGGGGAGTCTGGGGCTGCGGAAGCCATACAGAATGAGACTCAGGCGTTTCAATGCACACACCATACAGCCATGGCCAGACCGTCTTGCGCATAGTATAATACATGTAAGTCGCCACATGAGGGATCACATTCTCCAGAAACACTTTCAGCTCCCGGAATCTCCCTCATAGGTGAACCCAGAGATGTACTTGACACCACCTCGCTTCATAATGCCCTGGGTATTTTCTTTTAAGACCTTCTGAAGCCTGGCTCCTCCCTTTCCCAGACCTTTACCACCTTTACCTGGATCAGGCAACTTTACGGTAGTATCTCACTCGGACAGAAGAGCAAGGAGTCAAGCCTTCTGTGAGATTAGACTAGGGCGTCTACTTCTTGCAGTGGACATATTTGATAACGTCAAGAAAGTGAGAAGAACTCTAAGCTTCCAGGATGCTTTTTTTTTTTTTTTTTTTTTTTTTTTTTGCTCCCCACACTAGTGAGTCAAGTAAGTAGTAGTAAGCAGAACAAGACTGATTATTTTTGTTTGCTTTTTTTAAAAGAACTTACTGTTATTTTTGCCATGAAACTGAGGAAAGACTCAATAGAGTGTATATTGTCTTTTCTCAACACTTAAAACAAAGTAGGCCAGAGCCTTTGCGTGCTTGGTTTCCCTCCCTCCACCTCTCTCCATTCCCCGTCTCCCTGTGGGCCCTCTCTCCCTTGGTCTCTCTCTCACGTGTGTTCAAATTCTAATTCTATATTTTTCAAATGGAATTGTTGCTCTTATAATAACCATATCCAGACTAATGTGAAAATCAACAGGAACCAGCAATGCTCTACATGTTAAATTTCAAAGTAATTGCTTGACAGTGTTTAACCTGTAGATCTTTGTAAGTCATTAGTGGGGAAGGAGAAACATTTTTAAAGGTTCTCTTTTCTCTTTTGTGGGCCAGCGGAGAATTATAATTATTTCCAAAGGTCTAACTTCCCCACCCCTCGTTCCCTCCCCACACTTTTCCCTTACTGCTGCTTCTGCACCATCTGCAGATTTTCCTGACTCCTTTGCTCCCTCACCCCAGTCACGTATTTGCTTTTCAACCAAATAACGATTTCTATGGTTTTATTCAGTTGAAATGCTGTAAATTCGGTTGTAATCTGAGGTTCTCACTTCCATTTAAAAATTCAAGGTTCTTGTAAAATAATGGATGGCACAATTGTGGCTATAAGCAGTGCTTTAAACTACAAACCTCCAGTTAGGAGGCTCTCCATCCTTTTCTTAGGAGAATTCCTGAACAAAAACAAAACTGAGTAGTGTCACCTCTATAAGAGGCAGGACACTGTCTTCCTAGAAAGTTTTACTGTGATAAAAGGCAGCAGTATTTAGAGAATGATTAAAACTTTTCCCCAGGTACCTAACATCTTGAGGAATAAATATTTTAGTAAGTTGTGCTTCCTGTCCCTAGTCTTGCCCTGACTGGTGTGGCTCAATGGGTTGTGCATCATCCCACTAACCAAAAGGTAGCCGGTTCAATTCCAGGTCAGGGCCCATGCTGGGCTGCAGACCAGGTCCCTGGTTGAGGGCATACAGGAGCTAACTGATCCATGTTTCTCTCCCTGTCTTTCTCCTTCCCTTCCCCTCTCTCTAGAGATAAAAAAACAAACAAACAATTTTTTTTAAAAAAAAGATTAATTTAAAGAGCCGATGGAATGCTAGGTGGCTGAAAAAAGTCTTGAATAATTGAATCATAGTATATGATGTTAACTCTTGACTGAGAGGGAAGAAGGAAAGTCTTTTGGATCTTTGGATCTTCAAGAGTCAGGATTCTTGTAATGATAAAATTGGTTTATTTATACTGACCATGACTAAAAAATTAAGGTTAGAACATTTTCAAGTTAAAAATCTCTCTTGTTTACAAGAATAAAATGAAAAATATTGCTAATAATGATAATCTGTTAAAAAATTTTCTGAAGTTATAGGCAAAAATTTAAGCTAAATTTACAAAACTCATTCCAGGAACATCTTGTTAAAAACTGCATCAGAGATTTGTGTGTCCATTAATTCAGTTTATCTAACAGTTATTGGGTGCTTACTAACATATTTAATCTTCAAAACACTTTGGGGTAGGTACACAGAGGTTCAATAACTTTTCCAAGGCCAGCTGCTAAGTGGTTTGAGCCAGGATTTGGAAAGAGCAGTCTGGATCCAGAATGGCCGGCCACTTAACCATGACAATATACTGCCGTCGTAGCTCCAAAGGCATTTATTCAGCCCCTACTGTAGATAGGTTAATTATTGAGCTTGGCAGTAGGTCATAGATAGTTGAAAATTTTTTTTTCAATGAAATTAAATCTTTAGTGGTTGGTGAGAGGGTAAATTTGTTTTAATTTAGTGGATACTATAATCCATATAAAATATTGTTTATTTTAATAAGTGCTTATGCTATGGCTCTGCAAAGGCTATTGCTGACGTTCTTTCTTTTTCATGACCTCCGAGTGCCACCGGAATGTCTTACATGACCATATTTACCACTGGGCTTGTCCACAAGGAGACTATAGTCTTCGTGGGCAATGTGATCTGAGGCGCCCATGACCTTGGACTAGGCTAAAGCCACGGCCAAGATTTTCAGCCTCAGCAACTAAGCTGAGCCTGCATCATCTGCAGAATCCAGAGGCTCTTTTCAGGCTTGAAACTTCAGACGCGAGAGATGCTTAAGTTTTGGCTAAGTGAGTTTATTTCTGCCCTCTGTGAAGAAAGCATTCACATCTAGTTAGAAACGAAGATTGGCAGCCTGTGATCCGCAGAGCTTTGCGGGGAGTCCAGTTTCATCTGGTCTAGTTACAGTTCAGATGGCGAACTCCATACGGAGCTTCTCTTGGAGCCAGCTCTTCGCACTTCTGGGTGATCAGCCGGAGTTTCTGGGTTTGCAGGAGGCAAGGCACTTGTTTAAAGGGAGAGGCAACGTACCCGGTATTGGGCAGGCAGAAATCGGTAAAGAGTTCGTGATTTCGCTTGAGAACCAGTGCTGCCCACCAGTGCAGGCTCTGAAATTATTTAACGACCTGGCTAGGATGCTGTATTATGTGAGAAATGCCGCCTAGAGGGCACAGCGACGTCTGGTACACCGTGCGCGACCTCAAGGGACATTTATTTCTTGAGCTCTTCATGCATGTGGACAAAGTATTTCTTCTTCTGGTTCTTCCTACCATGGTTTCTCAATTCTTAAGTCTTTATTTTCCTGCGTGGGAGCGTGGACATTGAAACCTCAAGATCCAATAAACTCAAAGGAGCCCCCAACAGAGCAGAGGCTTTCTCTTTTGATTGGACAGAGCTGAAGAAGGCGGTCCCTCAGCCAGCATGCTAATTGGGTATGGAGCCTGCCTATCATGGGTTGCCGGAGCCAAAGTGTTGCGGCGTCCAATGGGAAGGCTCTTGCCTGGGGACAGCAAAGTGTTGATAGAGGCAGTTCCGGTGTGTTACGTTTCATTCCTACACCCGGACCGGGATCGCTGGCGTTTTTTCTCTCCGTGGAGTTTTAGGCTAGAGGTGAACATGTCTGGTCGCGGAAAGCAGGGCGGCAAAGTGCGAGCAAAAGCCAAGTCCCGATCCTCCCGCGCAGGACTGCAGTTCCCGGTGGGCCGAGTGCACAGACTGTTGCGCAAAGGGAACTACGCGGAGCGAGTTGGCGCTGGGGCACCGGTGTACCTGGCAGCGGTGTTGGAGTACCTGACCGCCGAGATCCTGGAGTTGGCAGGCAATGCCGCGCGCGACAACAAGAAGACCAGGATAATCCCTCGCCACCTGCAGCTCGCCATCCGTAACGACGAGGAGCTAAACAAGCTGCTGGGGAAAGTGACCATCGCTCAGGGCGGCGTCTTGCCTAACATCCAGGCCGTGCTGTTGCCCAAGAAGACGGAGAGTCAGAAGGCGAAGAGCAAGTGACCCTGACGCCGCCACAGGGGAGCTGGCTTCCTGAGCAAAGCCTCTTTTCCTAGCCGCCCCGCAGTGTTTTTGAATATACTGGATGTCATGGAGGGTCAGCGCGATCTAGTGGGGAGGTGGGCTGCGAGGGGCCCACCGGTGTGGGGGACCAATAAAGTCGGTGAAAATCGTGTTGTCGAGAGAGCTGTGTAGTCCCGGGGCCTGCCGGAGACCTCTGGAGCAGGTACTGGTGGGTCGGCTTTGGTGCCAGTCACCCTCGAGGCGTTGTGGGCGGCTGAGGGAAACTAGGAGGGACCCACTGACCTGAAGGTAGGCAGAGATGGGAGCTCTCCCCGCTCGCCTTAAGGTGAAGGGGAGGCAGTGTAGGTATGGATGCGGCAGGGAGAACTATTTTTATGGCCTCTTCCCAGGGCTTTAGCTCTCTTGCCCTGTATGGGCAGTTCAGAAACCAGTTCTAGGAAAGAGATAGTGAATCCCAGCTGGTCTAGGGCAGGAAGTTGGCTTTCTGGCTCTACTTTTCAAAAAGTGGGGTAACTTCCTGACTTGGAAGAGTGGCTCTGAAGACACAGTGTCAACTTAGATTTTTTCTTAACCTATTAGCTGTTGTGTTTGCATGATTTGGATATCAGATATTTTTGTACACACACTTATGCTCACATTTCTTTAAAGTTAAGGGAACGCCCAGGTTTATGTGTAATACAGAAGCGTTGAGTCATGAGGTTGGAAATTTGTTCCCCTGACACTCATGTTGCATAACAGTGCAGCGCCTTTAGTCATGAGTAACTTATGCTTATGAGCTTTTAAAATGATTTTCTCAAGTTCCTAGCTTTATTATGGCCTTTTCTCCATCATATTATACTCCTTTGGAAGTGTACTAGGTTTGATTTTGCTTTATAACAACAAAAAGCCTGCTTGAAATCCCTTTATGTTCTTCCACTGGCCAGAAGTAATAACCTCATTCCAACAATGACTATAAGGGTAGCATTGTTTAATGCCACAGAAATGCTTTAATAAATATGTGAGTTATGAAAAAAAAAAGGACAAATGATTTAAGTGCAGGAAGAAACACATTTCAGGTCAAGAATCCACATTTAAAAGTTTAACACTAGCAATCCTATTCTGTCCTTTGTTGATCCTTCCATTTCACTCTTCCACAAGCTTCATCCTGCTCCACAGGGCCCACAAACAAGATCCCAGTGTACATTCCACTCCTTTGATTAATCTTTCCTGTGAGTCAGAGTTGAAGTCTTCCTGGAAAAAAAAAAAAAAAGAATACGTGTTCATCCTTAGTTTTCCCACATGGACTTTATTTCATCCTCAGTATTTGTTGAGCATCTCCATATAACATGCTCAGCACTAGGTGATGCATAATGGGAGCACAGCTATGAATGAGGCCAACAGGTTTTCCACTCTCTTGGAGCTCACTTTTTTTTTTTCCTTGATGATCAAAGACAGGACAATGAACAAATAAATAGAGAAAGGATTCCCCTTCAGCTTCTGTTAGTACTTGTGTCACTTGCCTGCTGGTGGAATGAATGTTGGGATTACTTTTCCCATGTGTCATCTTTGAGGTGTACAAAGGCCAGGCCACACACACTTCTGTTAAGCCGATTATTACCCCCTAATTCCTGAGGAGATAGATCCCAAGGGTACTATGGGCTGGTTACAGGATGTCTAGCTCTTCACTCCACTCCTCACCTTTCATACAGAAGGCTTCCTCATGTGTGAAATAGTCCTAATGCCCTTTTAAGGACCGAGATTGTTCACTTACTGCAGATATTAGGCATATATTAGGCACTCAGTAAATTATAAGAAGTACTATTTCCTACAGGATGTGGGCTTACGCTTATAGGTTAAGGTACAGGAAACCATAACTAATAGGATTTTCTCTTTTGTTGTGTTTTTACTGCCCGATAATTAGGATAGTTATCAGTGTTACCCCTTTGGGGACATGGTAGACAGTGGAGGAAAAAAAACATATCAAGTGCTGGTTGTGACATTTAAGTCTTAATTTCCTGTAATACGTGAGGCTTATTAACAAAAATGGGAAAGAAATAAGGAAGAAAGCCATCAAGACATTTAAAAGAAAAGAAAAAAACAAACAAAGCACTTTTCTCTTCCCTCTGAAGATTCAGTCTGTCTAACTAACCCTGTTAGCAGAAAGGTCAGACAGGCAGGACACAATGTGCAGTGGCTGCTCCCCTGCCCCGCTGCCACTGCCCTGAGGCTCTCGGGTTCCCCTTAAACACTTCCTCTGCTGCAAGGTTCAATCAGTCCCTCATCATAGCTGTTTTTGAGAGCTGTTGTTTGTTTTTTTTTAATCTGAATAATTTATTGACAGTGAAAAATGCATACTTCCTGCAAAGTCAATTTAGCCTATGATCCTTGATGAGCAAACAGTTCTTGCCTCTGTATGGTTGTTCCTTTAAAAAGCCAATATTTCTTCAAGTACAAGACCATATTGAAGAAGACAGTACAAAAACTGATGGGACCTGAATTCTGATTTTTAATAGATTTATAATCCGTACTTGTACTTATAGACACACACACTCTTCCCTGCAGAGATAAGCCATTCAGTGTGGTAGGTTGTAACTTGGGCAGAACTTATTTGTTCTTTGTTTTTCTGCAGGACCAGTCTTGTCTTTGTACCTCTGAGAACTGGCCTGTTTAGTTTTGTCTGCCTGGAATCAAAAGGTTTAGTCTGGCGATGACTGGCCTACTACATGCAAACTCTTCACAAACCAGTGGTTGAAAGGTCATATGCCATGGTGTTTAAGAACTCAGGCTCTCTGGAGTGAGACAGGTTCAGCTCCACTCTGTTCCTTACTAGCTGGATGACTTTGGAAATGTTACTCAATCTCTTTCAACCTCAGTGTCTTCTAGTAAATGGGCATAATAATAGAGTTTACTTTAGTGGGTTTTGGGGAGGAATCAATGAAAGGATGTGAAAGAGAGCAATAAGTTTCCCATATAGAACCGTTCTCAGTGAATAGCAACTATTCTTGTTGCTATAGGAAAATGGATTTAGAATGAGTGGCAGTAGTTATGGGACCTACTGAAATAGGTAAACATGTCATTCTAACAATCCTGTGACTTTGCTGGTAGAAAATCATAAGTTTAATGGCTGTTTTACTAATTACAGGATATACATAGTCTGTAACAGAAAAAGGCATAATAAATGGCTGATGTTTGTGAAACTTAATTTGCATCCCCCCTGCTCCCGCCAAGACAATCCAGTTTGGAATGAATAGTTTGTTAAGTGCACTGTGCAGATTAAAAATGGAACCTGTTCGTTCAACAAGTTACTGTGCAAATGTTATGTTATACTCATGATTGATAACTACTGTCAAGAAAAATGGTTATAATATAATAAAAAAGATGATTATAATTTAGCAGTCTACATGTAAAGAAAGGGAGATGCCCAGGCTGTTACAGTAACAGAATAGAAGTTCCTGTGTCCCTCAGCCTGCTGGGGAGAGTGGCGCTGGTGGTAAGTCTAGGTGTGAGAGTCAGCCTGATGTGACAGGGTATTCTGGGCAGAGAAGTAGCACACACAAAAGCATGGGGTCAAAAGACAATAGCTACAGCTGGATGTGAATGAATCCGGGGAGAAGGTGTGGCCTGGAGATAAGAATTTGGGGGTCATGACTAAAAAATGTCCAGAGTGGACAGACTCACCCAGAAGGAAAGTACGTATATAGGATATGTGTATAGATATATAAGTGAATGTATAAAGGACAGCCACAGCTCACAGAACCCATTGTCACCTGTAGAGATAGTAGGGACATGTAGATCTATGAGATCGAATTGTCTGGCAGAGGAAGGGGAATCACTGAGGAAATGAGGGGACATGGCCTGAAAGGCACCAGGAGACAGAGTGTAAAGGGATAAAGATTTTTCACAATTAAATTGCTGCACTCCTTGATACCCCTTGATTTGCTTATACTTTGACATGTAACTAGAAAACTTTCTTTAAAGGTTATTATATTTTCCCCACACAGCAAATGCTGACAAACTGCCTCACTTTACTAAAGGCGCTGGAATGGATATACATTTGTATGTTGTACATACAGAAAGTCAAGGTAATATATGGTGACAACTGAAACCTTCTTTTTAAAAAGAATATTGGTAGAGTACCATTTAAAATTATATTCTTTATTATCATTCTACTTAGTTGATCATAGTTTTTAAACATGTTTTAATGAAGTTTAATTTTTGAAAAGTTATAGACGCAGTGGTAACATTAATTCATAAAAGCACTGTATGTATTTTAGGATGCTTAAAACATACATTTTTAGAAATCAGATGATGTTTATTTTCCCAATAGAGAGAAATGGAGAGTAAGAGGAACAGAAAAAATAAAAAAGAGGAAGAAAAATATAAGGAAACCAGGTGGCTGAGGCAGATATAAAACTGTCACTGTAATAAAGCTTTATTTTGTATTTTTCTCCAAGGAGAGAAAGTGTTGAAAGCCAGATTTTAACATATACATACATAAAATAATGACAGCACATGTGGCTAGTAAGTTGGGTCCTTGATCATTTTATCAAATCACACAATTAAAAAGCCAGCACTACTTAGCTCCAAATAATGGAAATGGAGGGATAAGCCCTATATTGGACAAAATTATCTTTCCTTTAGACAAACCAAACAAGCAACCTGCTCATGAGGGTTTATTTACTTTCTGCTCTAAAGTACTTTTCAAATGAACTATCTTGTTCACATCAGAAGCCTAAGTGGTCACCGCAATTCCAAAAGACCCCTGGTGAAACTGTGCTTATTAAAGAGGTAGGTATACAAACTACTTTTAAAATGAGTAGACATGAAGGAAGCAGGTGTTTGGTTGGAAGAGATGCAGTTGTAGATTATGATAACTAGGAGAAATACATGTTTTATAAAGATGTGTAATTTCTGATCCTGGTAACTTGGCCAATGGCCAGTCATCACCCATGGGTCCAGGCAGACAAAACTAAACAAACCAGTTCTCAGGGACACAAAGACAAGAGTGAGAAAGAAGTCTTTATTAGATTTAGAAATGGTGACCTAAAGCAAAGTTTGTCCAAAAGTTGCTGGTCTGAGGAGAACTAAGAACTCCTCAGCCTTTGGAGGTCAACTCAAAAACAGATATGTTTCAGGCCTACGTCCATCCTCTCTCCCTTCAGACTTTGCCTCACAGACAAAACTAAACATTAGGCAAGCTAACAAGCAATGGAAGCAGGGAATAGAAGACTAAAAACAATTTTATCAAAGAATACTGACCTGATTAGACAAAAAATTCTAAGAGCTGTGATTCCTAGGGAACATAATAAATTCAACATATGCACTTGAACAAAATACAGGAACTCAACATGGATTTATCTGTCAGCCTTGGGCAACTGGCACCTCGTACAGAGGGAATCACAAGGGATTTTAATGTTCACACTGTACTGAGATGAGAGTTTTCATCCCAGCAGTGAGTGCTTTCACCGAATCTCTATTTTGGTTTATGCC